CAAGTTTGGGAGTGACCCAAAGGTGAGCAAAATTTGGAAGAAAAGCAGGAGTTGAAAACAAGTCCCATAAGGGATGAGACCCATCATAGGTCTGTTGGTACCACGTCCTTATCCAACTTGGCGGAATGCAAAGAGACACAAGCTGTGCTTTTCCAACTGGTGCTTTTCTTTTCTTTCTTTCTTTCTTTTTTTTTTTAGATTTTATTTATTTAAGAGAGAGAGAGAACAGAACAAGCAGGGGAATGGCAGGCAGAGGCAGAGAGAGAAGCAGGCTCCCCGCTGAGCAGGGAGCCCGATGCGGGGCTCGATCCCAGGACCCCGGGATCATGACCTGAGCCGAAGGCAGACGCTTAACCGACTGAGCCACCCAGGAATCCCCTCCAACTGGCGCTTTACAGGCACCTGCAGGTTCTCTGACTCCTACAGTTGCAAGACGTCCATAAGATTTTCAAACGTTGTACCTTCCTTTTGTTAATTATCTAAAAACTAACATAAGCACATTCTGTCTGGATTAGCTGGATGATCAGGTGCACGCCCACTGTGAATTTGGGGCAGGGCTTTGAGTTGGTGTCGCGACATCGCCAGCACTAAAAAGTTCTACAGTAATTGTCCCAGGGGAAGGAGAAAAAAAAGGAACGGAGATTTTAATATAAATGTGTTTGCCCCTCCGGAAAGCCAGGGGAATGTAGATTCCTGGCAAGCAGGGTCTCTGTCTGCTTCGCTCAGTGCTCTGTCCTTAGCCGCATCCCGGGCGAGCTGGGATGAATGAATGTTCTGCGTTGAATGAATGCACGGCGAGTAAATATTTCAAAAGCAGCTAGAGTACAGAAAAGAGGAGGAAGATTCGAGTTATCACAGGACACAGAAGAACCTCCGCTAGGGCCACATTCAAAGCAGCAGGAACTTGGTGGAGGCAAGGGAGGCCGTCACCAGGTTGAATGAAGAATGTTCACTTACGTTTTACTGACTTTGTCGATTTGTTTGTATTGACTTGTAAATTTGTTTTTATTTTATAGCGGTAACGGGTCTATGAGCAAAAGCCGTTTTATGTTTACACATATTTGAGAAACACGACAATAAAAGATAAATTAGGTCAACCCTGAGGGGCTGTGAGGATTTTTTTTTTTTTCCTCAGAAGGATTCCGTCTATTAGTTTTTCTAAGAAACAGGAGATAAACATTTTTTCACAATATGTGACCAATCCTGCGGCAAACGGACGTGCTTCCCTAGCCAAGAAAGTTAACCATTTCTCCAGATGGCGGAGGACACTCTGTCTCCTGATCAAAGGCTGCCAATGGTTGTTTTTCTCTCCCTTATAACCCACAGTGTTACAACTTTAAGGCACACTGTGGGTTTTAATGTGCAGTTAATCTTATTTTCAGAGCTTGAGAGGGTGGGCGGTGGGAAGAGGTTACTGAGACTTGGCCTCTGCTTGGCTCACCAGCAGAAAGCGTTTTCTGCCCTAAGACAAGCTGAAGAGTATATGAAGCAGATGCCAAGTGATTAAGGTAGGTGGGCATCCAATGAAAGAGTGAATGAGATGATATTTTGACCCTGGGGTATTAGAAAGCCTCGGACTCTTTATTAAGGATGATGACGATAACTGGCCAGGGCTGACAGTCTCCATGTTCTGCCACCATCTGCAGCACCAATGATCCCTGCCTGGCTTGCTTAGTTCTTCAACTTGGCTCTTTGTGCCTGGGTGGTGTTGGAAGCCCACGGCAACAGGCAGCCGATAAAATCAAGCTGGGAGCCGCACTTGCTCCTCAGCTGGAGCCTCCTGGGGGCAAGAACACTGAAATCTGTAAATACACCAAGACCCGCATTTATGCTGACAGGAGTAGACCCTATTTCAGGACTGCCCAGGCTCCAGGGGTGGGGAGACCCTATATGTTGTGTGTGTGTTCTTTCCAATATAAGCTTTAAAGGGTAAAGACTAAGATACTGATCGCACACTTGCTCAATGAAGTTTAGCTCCTTCCTCCTTCCCCCCTCCCCTTCCAAGGAGTCTTAAAAAGCAAACCAAAGGATAAGTGTCCAAAGGTGATTGTTGAACTGAACTGAAATGGGCCTCTGGAGTTTGGGGCTCACCGCAGAACGCTATGCCCAGGTTTCAGGAACTTGCCTGATAAGTGAGAAAGCAGAGTGGCCAAGAGATTCAGATTCATGATTTGGGCAAGAGGAAAGGCAATGGATTAGGAGCTGATGACCTGGAGGCGATCTGGAGCGAGGGGAGGTTACCTTTTAGTAGCAGCACCATTTATAATAGCCAAACTATGGAAGCAGCCAAGTGTTCATCCACAGATGCATGGATAAGGAAGCTGTGGTAGATATATATGGTGGAATATTACTGAGCCATCAAAAAGATGAAATCTTGTCATTTGCAATGACACGGATGGAACTAGAATATAATGCTGAGCGAAATAAGTCAGAGAAAGACAAATACCATATGATTTCACTCATTGTGGAAGTTAAGAAACAAATGAGCAAAGGGGAAAAGAGAGAGAGAGAGAGGCAAACCAAGCAACAGACTCTTAACTATAGAGAACAAACAGATGGTTACCGGAGGGGAGGTGGGAGGGGGGACAGGGAAACTGGTGATGGGGTTTAAGGAGCGCACTTGTCATGATGAGCACAGGGTGATGTATGGAAGTGTTAAATCACTACATTGTACACCTGACATGAATATAACACTATTTGTTAACTACAGGGGAATTAAACTAAAAACTTAATAAAAAACAAGCAAAAACAAGAGGAGATGGCGACAGTGAGCAGAGACTGGGAACCCTCGGCCAGGCACCTGTCAGCTTCCTGCTGGCCTGGGCCTCCTGGTTTCCTGCACCAGCTCCAGGTCCCTCCCAAGCCCATTCCCTGGGGGGCTGTCACGGGGGTTGGGGGGGGGTTGGCGGGGCCATCACTCAGAGTAGCAGTCCCAAGCAAAGTGGAAGGAGAGAAACAGCATGCAAATCGGGGACAACCCGTGGGGCAGCCTGGGAGAGCCGCCTGCTATGCCCAAGCCTGACTTCGGCCCTTTGGGAAACTGGGATACTTCTCAAGAATGGTAGGAAGATGTATCAGATGGAGAGAAATGGCTTCAGGAAACCAAGCAAAAGGGCTCGGAGTGGGTTAAGATGGTGGCTTCTGGCCCGATTGTGCTTTCCCAGTCTTCCCTATCTCTCCTTCTCTGGCCACCAGAATAAGCATGAAGAAGGCATTTGAGAAAGTACACATACAGAATCAGAGAGATCGGCGGTGAGGCTTGGACATGTGTCAGGAACACCATCGGTGAGGTTTTCTGCCATATAAATGGAGAGGGGAAATGAGAGAAAAGAAATAGTCACCAGATAGGGCAGTGGGGGCGCAGGGGAGGGGCTGGGGGGACAGAGGGGGTGTGGAGCAGTGGCTGTCCGACCTCAGCCCCCTCTGAGGCGTCCCCCCCGTGAGGGCGGGGAGTGATCTCCCCATCTACAGATGGTGCCAACTACCACTGTTTGCTGAAGGAGTGTGAGATGCCCCTGGAGCCCGGCGCTTGGAGCTAGCTGCCACTGTGCGGAGACACGGGGCCCTGGAGCTTCCAAATTCCTCCCGAGGACTGGGATGCAAGGCTCCCCAGGGCCCTGCTTCTCTTTTCTCTCCTCCCCCTTTGACTTTGTTCATTCCTCTTCTCTGCCTTGGCCTCTTGGCCCGCCACCCCCACCACCTTCAGGCCCACAGGGACCCTGTGGGGTGAAGAGGGTGCCGTCCTGGGATGCTGGCCTCGGGCTCTGGCCTGTCTCTCCAGGTAGCTGAGCCTCTGGGAGGTAGCCCAGGTGAGTGCTGACAGCAGGTGCCCCTATGAACACAGAGAGCCGCCCATGGTCCTGAACCAGCCCCACCACTGTGCCCCCTGCCAACACACATCAACAAGCAAACCCAAACATCCCGTCCTGCTGCGCAGGACACCGAAGAAGGGTACTTCTCTCTTGCACGTTCCGGGATACTTGCTGCTATTCGTATTTCAGAGGTGCAGCTTGGAGCACGAAGGAGCCCCAGATGCAGTGAGCGTGCTGGAGCACTAGAGGGCGCGGGCTCCCACGCCATCAGAGAACTGAGCGGGTCTTGCGGCTTACTTTGGTTTGAGGCCATTGGGCCCCTTTCCTGAAGAATGAAGGATCCCACTGAGTACCTCACCAGGATTTGGATCAAAACCTCAGCCAATGGTAAAGCAGGATGAGGCCTTCTTTATATTTTTCCTTCAAGACCCACACAGAGGGAGAATGGTGCAGTCAGGGCGGGATTCCTCCCCAAAGCATCGTATCACAATTGTCTCTCAATGTCTCCCTTGACCCCCCTGGGAACGTGCAGACCTTAGCTCTCTTCACTTCACGGTGGCCCTGAGACTCTGATATTAAAGTCTGATGAGCTCCTTATTACCAAACGGCATCATTTTCCAGTTCTCATAGAACCCAAAAGAAAAATGGGAACGTCCATTGATATGCATGTCTGTGTAACATCCAACAGGATAGACCTTCTTGGCCTCCTCAAAGAGAAGAGGGGCTGTCCTAGCTGAGGGGACCCCTGACCAGACCCACCTCCGTGACAGAAGGTCTGGCATCTTTAAGGATTTCACATTTCCATGACAAAAAGGGGCAGATGCTTCTGGCAGAGGCACTGTGGTTTTGAGAGGTGTCACGGCTGCATGGCATCAGGAGCGGGCAGATCAGGGCGACGCGGCCAGGTCGCCTCAACCCTCCTCTTTTCAGCTTCCTGCGCCAGCCTGACCCTCGTATGCTGGGGGCCACCAGGGGGTCAGTGAGTGAGTGCCGAATGTCAAATTCCGTCCCTCTTTGGGGGAGGAAGTTGAGTCCAAGTGCAGGCTGGTTTTCTCAGCCTCTGCTCTGAGGGATACTGCTCACAACAAGACCAAACCCTCAAACCAAAGGCGCCCTCTGCCATGTTCCAGGAACTCCCCCCGAGCCCCGGGTTCTGGAAGAACCAAGAAGCAAGCAAGGCTGTTTTGGGAAGTGCTCACATGTATTTATTTCACGAGGGAGGAATGGGGCGGGGGGCGATCACCAATAAGATGCCACCAAATGAGACACTGTGAACCCCAAACTGGGCGACTACAGGATTTGGTTCTGGGCAGGACTTGGCCTTTGGGGATAGCATGAGGGACAGAGAGGGAACTGGCCAGAGGGACAGCCTTCATCTGGGGCTCCACATAGGGCAAGTCTGGGCCACGTCCTCCTGGCCAAAGAAGCATGGCCAACCCCCCAGCTTCCTGCAGCCTTGTCCCGATCCAGGTGAGCAAGGAAGCGACAAGCCCAAGGCCACACGCTGACATCTGCCTATCACACACTCCTCTGCACACACCCGGACACCCTCATGCACGCGCACACACGCGGTCACGCACACCACAGGCACACTCATAGGCATGCACACGCGTCCATATATTAACTCTGATTTATAAGTGCACCCTAACCAGAGGGCAATCGAAAAAAATTATTACTCTTCAGAGAGGAATCGACTGCCTTCTCCCCTGTCAGCCAGCAGAGCATGGGGTGAAATGAGGTGAACACGGAGCATCCTCCAGGGTCCAGGCCCCCTCTGTTGTGCTGGCTTCAGTCCTTAAGCTCTGGGTGAGTCAGGGCTCCCTGATCCCCAGGGTGGGGGAGCAGAGCTGCACCGGCCTGGCTCCAGCCCCAGGGGCCCCCTCACAGCCATGACCTCCCTAGGCGCTCAGCCCCTCCGTCTCTGGCTCTCTGCAGACGCAAGCAGAGCAGCTGGCCCATGAACACCGGAGCCTAGAGCCCCACCACGGAAGCATTAATTCCTTCCAGGCCATCTTAGGGAGGGTCCAGAAAAGTCCAGGGCTGTCCATCTGATGGAAAGGTTGGGGGTGGAGGCTGCCTTGTAAATGGGCATCTGGGCAGAAGCAATGTCGAGGGACACAGAGTCTCAGGGTCTCTTCCAAGAAGGGGGAGACAGGATGCGGCTGAGCACCACCCCCGACTCTGTTGAGGCCTGGGGGTGGCATTCAGAAGCTGCTGCTGCAGGAGATGAGAAAGAGGGGCCCCTGCCAGTCCCAGTCCTGAGAGTGGCTGGGGAGAGGATGCAGAGGACATGGGGGTTCACTCTGTGGTACGTGGTCCGCATCCAGGCGGCAGAAGACACGGCTCCTGGGTTTCCAGAGGAGGGGTGCGGGGCTTTTCCAGGGAGCATAGGCTTCATGGCTGCTGAGCGCCAAAGGGGGGGCACCAAGTCTCCATCCGGGGCCCCTGTGCTGCTCTGGAGAAGCCCCGGGAGGCCCGCTGAGCACCTGCTGGCTTCCTGTTGTCTCTCCACCAGTGCGGCTGGTCCAGAAGATGGGCAGACCCCAGGCCGGGGGCCAGGCTCTGGGGGCCCCTGCTCCCCCCCGCCCCCGCTACTTGATCGAGTTCTTAATTGTCCACCTCTGTCCCGTGCAGCTGCGAAGGATGAGATCGATGCCAGCCAGGCCCCGGTTCTCCACCTCTAGGCATCGCCCTGTGCCCTTATTCATGATGGCTCCATTCTGGGTAAAAGGAGGAGAAAGACAGAGAGACAGAGACATAAAGAGACAGAGAGAGATACAGAGACAAAGAGAGACAGAGACAGATGGATGTAGAGATACAGAGAATAAGGTAGAGAGAGACGGAAAAGAGAATGAGAGAAAGAAACAGAGAGAGACAGAAACGCAGAGAGAGAGACGGAGAAAGAGGTTTAACCACTGTAGTGCCTGGCACATGGCCTCTCGTGGGGAGCAGTCCCACCAAAATTCTTTGCACAGGGGGAGGGATCAACAGAGCCTCCTCCAGAAACCCCACAGCCAGAAAATGTATCAGCTTCACCAAGTTTGAATGGCAGAACCAGGTGACAAGCACCGATGGGGGATGGTGTCCGAGTGGGGTCTGACTTTCTCCATCCTACTGGCTACTTAGCAGATTTCAGAGAAATCACCGCACGCTCCCCTCCCAAGGTTCATCAGAGCCCAGCCTGCCTGATGCTGCTGCAGGGACCTGGGAGACTGTCCCACCTGCAATACTCCTCCGCTGATTGCCCCTGGACGCACTTTGGGTTCATGAGGCTGGCCCAGGGCTGGAGACCTCGGGTGCTCTTTGCTGGGGAAGTCAGCTCCCCCCGTGGCCCGCAGCAGCCTCCCCTGCTCTGGCGTGCTGGCTCTTTCCCTGGGGCACTCACCTGGATGAAGTTCCAGCGCTTGTACAGGCTGCTCTTGACTTTGTCACAGTCGAGGAGCTGGGGCAGCCGACTCTTGGAGTTGTCCACCAGGCAGCGGGTGTCGGGGAGGAGTGTGGTGGTCCCCAGGGCGCCCAGGTGCAGGAAGCCCTCCTTGGTATAGCGGGCAAGCTGGGGAGAGAGCAGAGGAGAGGGTGGGGAGAGGTGACTCAGGTCTGCAGGTCTCACCCATGCGTCCCTGGCTTGCTAAGCCTGGATACAGCGTCTCCAGGGTCAGGCGGATTTCTTTCTAAGCATGTCCTCAGTCAGCGTTTCTGGACTGTGGGCTTCTGTCCAGCAACATGATGGAGCAGAGGAATAAATAAAAGAGCAAGACGTCTGATTTCTAAAGCTTGGCTCTGCTCCCAGCTGGCTGGGAGCAGAGGAATAAATAAAAGAGCAGGACGTCTGATTTCTAAAGCTTGGCTCTGCTCCCAGCTGGCTGGGCAACCCTGAGTAAGTCACTTAACCTCTCCGAGTCTGCATTTCCACCTCATTTGTAAATTGGGTTAATTAATTAATTCCACCCTGGTGTAAAATACCCAAAGAGGCAGGTCACTGAAAAAGAAACAGATATATTAAAAAACATTCAACTTAACAGGTGTTAATTAAATAAACTAAAACAGCAAGGTGATACCACATTGAAAGAAAAAACAAACCTATTCTCATTTTGTCAAGGTTAGCATAAAATGGGCTAGAGTGGGGGAAAATTACGACAACGTTTCAAAAAGGGGATTTCAAAATATATTCTTTGTGCTTTAAAAAAAGTTTTTTTTTTTTTTGTCTTTTGACCCAATAAATCCACTTTTAGCAATTTATCCCAAGGTAACAATCAAAACCGGGAACACAAGTTAATGTATATAGGATATTCGCTGCAACGTTATTTATAATGATGAAAAAGCAGAAGCGTCCTAAAGGCGCACCACAATCCTGGTACCTGCTTTCCGCTCCATGCACACCAACAAATGCTGGGGGATTGTGGGGGCACTGGGGTGGCTCAGTCGGTCAAGCGTCTGACTCTTGGTTTCGGCTCAGGTCATGATCTCAGGGTTGTGGGCTCGAGCCCTGGGTTGGGCTCCATGCTCAGCAGGGAGTCTGCTTGAGATTCTCCTTCTCTCTCCACTCCCCCCTACTCCTGCTTGCTTTCTCCCTTCCCACAAATAAATAAATAAAATCTTTTTTTTTTAAAGCCACATCCTTCACTCTTCCTTCTATACACCCTGGGCAATAAGACTTTCGAAGCAATGTCCTTCAAGAAGTGAAGTCTGTTTCTCCATCCCCTGAGTATTGGTGACTTGCTTTGACCAACAGAATATAGTGGAAGCAAAGATGTGCCAGTTCCTGGACTAGACCTTTAGCCTTGCGTGCCTCCACCCTCTTGCTCTTGGAGTCCTGTTGGCACCGTGGCAGTAAGCTCTGGATGGCCCAACCAACAGCCAGCCAACCACCAGACAAGTGGACAAGGTCATCCTAGATTAGGCAGCCCTTGGCTGACCTGCTAGGTGCCAAGAGATGTATGAACGAGTCCAGCTGAAATCAGCCGAGCCTGGTCTGGATCACAGAACCATCCAGCTGATCTGGATAATGCATAATACATGCATATTGCTTTATGCCACTAAGTTTTGGGGGGATAGTTGTTATGCAGCAAGAGCTAACTGATATGGAGATGGTGCTGCCTATCAACTCTTCCCACAGCAGGACCCATGCTACTCAAGTGGCCTCCCTCTCCTGCCTATCTGTGTTGTTTAAAATTCTGTATTCCAACCTTTGAGCAAATGCATTCATCTGTCTTTCACACTCTTTTAGGGGCAGGGACTGTGTCTAATTAATTTCTTTCTTTGCTAGGAGAAAATCACAGACCAAGTGCTCAAAAAATGTTTGTGGATGAGCACATTATAAATGTGGTGAGCGACATCATTTAAAAGATACAGCTACGTCCATTCATTTTAAACTCCATAAGCATGTTTTGAAGAGTTCTCTGTGTGACCAGCCTGGGAACCGGTTTCTGAGAATATGAGGACGTGGCTGTGTTCCCACTGATAATTCCAGTGCGGGCTGGTGAAGGCAATGAGACAGGAAAGTACATGTCTCATTTTTGCTCTCACATCCTATGAGGTGGCGGGGGTAGGAGTGAAGATTATTAATATACAGCTAGTGCCGAATAAATTAAAAAATAAAATTACCAGCTTGCATGTATTAAAGGCACACTCTGCATCATTTCTAAGCATTGTACAGAGAATAAAGAATGTGATTTTTATAACTCAGTGAGGTAAGTTTCTATTACTCTCCCCATTTTAAAGATGAAACTGCGGTCTGAAGACATCTGGTCACCTGGCTGGGTCCTGGCCTCTCCCCTTGGGACCCTAGAGACCCACATGGTTGGCTGCCCTGGCCCAGAAGCTGAGCAGCAAAGGGGCCTCTGCCTACATGATCCTGGGCTTCTCCAGGAACGAAGCCAGAAGGCAGAAGGCAGCTCTGGGCCACCAATGCCTCTTCTCCAGGGGATAAGATTTTCTGCAGGGGTTCTCATTGCTGATGAAAACTACTCAGAAACCCTCTGCCTTCATCCCCAAAGGGGGGCCCACCTGCTCCCCGCTGAAACAAGTGACAGGGAGTCTATTAAGTGCCCTTGAGAGAGATGCGGTTATCATGCGCTTTAAACCCAAATTAGTTCCAAATCAGAGTGATTGTCAGAGGCAAAATGATAAGAAAATCAAAAGCTCTCCTTGCCCCTCCCTAAACAATGTCTCTCTGAATATACTCAAATTCACCAAATGCAAAGTGATGAATGACAGCAAGCTGCTTTTATGTTCAGGGGAAAGATATACACAGCTTCTTATTGAAATTATGAATCAATCTATTATCCAGCAGGCAAATGAACAGCGCTAAGAACATTAATTAACTGAGCATATCTGTGACCCAGATGTTTAAAGAGCGAAGCTAAATGCCACCGAGAGTTAGAGGCTCTCCTTTCTGAGGTCTGTGAGCAAAGGATGAGACCGCAGCTACTAGGACCTGCAAAGCCAAGCACCAGCCCCAAGCTGTGCAGGCATTGGGGTGGGCAGGGAGGGTGGGGAGGCCCTACAGGATTTCCATTCTGGGGGAAGGTGCTTTCTCAAGCCAAAAACACATGCATAGGTTCTGCTGGCCTGGCCAAGGGGCTGGGGTCAGGGGAAGGGCGCTGTGGTCTGAAAGGATGGTGGGGCTAAAGTTACACCAACAGATGTCACACTGCTTCTCCCCCACAAGGTAGGAGGGTGATGCGTGCGCAGACCTCATGCCAAGCACATCCCCCTTCTTGTGCCAGTCCTGGATCGCTAGTCTTTGTGGTGTCTTTGGACCACTGTCTGGTTCACCTCCCCAGCTCCCCATCCCTGATATTCCTTCCTTAAGGACCTCTGCTTCCTGTCCTCTGCATGTGCAACAGGCTTTCCTGCCTTCAAGGCTTTGCTCCAGGTGATTCCTTTATTGGACTTCTTCTAGAACATTCTAGCTTCAACTTTTCTAGACTTCAGCACAATTCTTTCCATCCCACAGTGTCTTCTGTAACTCTTCCACCCCCCAGCCCCCCACACCTCCTCTCAAGTCTTTGGTGCAACATGATCCATATGCTCTGGTGTCTCACTCCAAGGTGGTGTGGGAGTATCTCATTTCCTCTTGACCATTCTGGGCATCCACTGACTAAGTGATGGATATTTGGGTTTTTCCACTTTTTGGCTATTATGAATTATGCTGCTATGAACATTCATGTATAAGTTTTTGTGTGACATATGTTTTCAATTCTCTTAACTCTGTATCTAGAAGTAGAATTGCTAAGTGTTGGGTCATACGGTAAATCTGTGCTTAAATTTTTGAGGAGTTGCCAAACTGTTGCAAAGCAGCTGCAGAGTTTACAGGCCCACCAGCAATGAGCCAGGGTTCCAATTCATCCACATCCCCATAAACTCTTGTTATTGTGTTTTCCTTTCTTCTTTCTTTCTTTTTAGAAAAATTCTAGCCATTGACTGGCTGTGAAGTGGTATCTCATTGTGGTTTTGATTTGCATTTCCTTCATAACGATGTTGAACATCTTTTTATGTGCTTTTGGCCACTTGTAGATCTTTGGAGAAATGTCAATTCCAATCTTTTTCCCATTTTTCAATTGGGCAAATTGTCTTTTTTATTGTTGAGTTGTAAGAGTTCTTTATATATTCTGGATGCTAGACCTTTTCAGATACATGTATGAATGGAGGTATTTTCTCCCATTCTGTGGGTTGTTCTTTCACTTTCTTTTTTGTTTTGTTTTGTTTTTTCACTTTATTGAGAGTATCCTTTGAAGCACAAAAGTTTTTGATTTTGATGAAATTCAACTTATCAATTTTTTCTTTGATTACTTATGCTTTTGATGTCATAGCTAAGAAACCACTGCCAAATCCAAGGTCATGAAGATTTACCCATATGTCTTCTAAGAATTTTATAGTTTGAGCCCTTACATTTAGATCTTTGATCCATTTTGAGTTAATTTTTATATATGATGTAAGGTATGGGTCTAAATTCCTTTTTTTCTAATGTGGACATTTGCTGTTCCAAGATTGTTTGTTGAAAAGACTTTTTCCCTATTGAATTGTCTTTTCATCTTTGTTAAAAATTAATTGACTGTAAATGTGGGATTTATTTCTGGAATCTGAATTCTATTCCATCGACCCATGTGCCTAACCTTCTGAGAGCACTACAATGTCTTGATTAGTACAGCTTTGTAGTAAGTTTAGGAATTGGAAGTGTGAGTCTTCTTTGTTTTTTTTCAGTGTCCTTCTGGCTACTCTGGGTCCCTTGCATTTTCATATGAATTTTAGGATTATCTTTTCCATTTCTGCAAAAAAAGGCAGTTGGAATTTTGATAGGTACTGCATTGAATCTATAGATCAACTCAGGGAGGACTGCCATTAACAGCAGTGAGTCTTCTGATCAAGGAACATAGGATGTATTTTTTTATTTAGGTCTTTCATTTGTTTCAACAATGTTTTGTAGTTTTCAGTGTATGAATCGTTCTCCCCCACAGGGGAAGTGTATACTTCTTTGGTTAAATTTATTCCCAAGTATTTTATCTTTTTTTATTCTACTCCAAATGGTATTGTTTTCTTAATTTCCTTTTC